CCGGGCACTCTCCTCCCTGTTGGCCCATCTCCTCCCCTTGTGTCTCCCTCACTTTGCTGGGGCACTTTCCTCCCTGCTGGCCTGCCTCCTCCCCTTGTCTCTCCCTCACTTTGCCCGGGCAATTTCCTCCCAGTCGGCCACCTCCTCCCCTTGTCTCTCTCTCACTTGTCCCGGGTACTCTCCTCCCTGTCGGCCTGCATCCTTCCCTTGTGTTTCCTTCACTTTGCCCAGGCATTCTCCTCCGTGCCGACCCACCTCCTCCCCTTGTGACTCCCTCACTTTGCCCAAGCACTCTCTTCCCTGCACTCTCCCTCACTATGCCAGAGGCAAGATTCCCTTGCCCTAAAAGCAATAAATAGTGCTCCCCGGATGTGTAGCATAATCCTTTTTGTGGTTCTCTTGAAAGCTCAGACATTTGAACCGCTGCCATTGTTTAAAAATAGTGTGCAAATAAAACGTTCTAAGCCTATCAATACCGGCTGTTTTTGTCCCAGAGTAAAAACCACAACACAGTTGTGAATAGACTCAAGGAGAGACTCTTACTTCAGCATGACTCTTCTCATACCTGAGGCTGGAGCATGTGTGGTACTTTGGAGAGAGTTTGGTATAGGAATAAGTAATTTTTAAATCACAGATGAAAACAGATAAAAAAATATTTGTTTTATAAAGTCCCAAGCGATTTGGTTGTGATCTAGTGGGCAGGAAGTCAAATCCTCACATTGCACGTACAGCAATGTCATTGCATTTACGAATCTGAGAACAAGACATGCAGAGTTTACTGAGAAATCTGGTACCATGTCAGGCCGACCAACCCTAGGACCCTAGGATTCTGACATCATGGCGTAGCCTTGTTTTCAGGCCATGATCGAGCCCTTAGTCTGCTCCTTCAGAGGAAGGGAGGAGCTCCTGTCTTTTATCTCTATGTTCCTCATGCATCCATGGGAAATGGCAGGGTAGTACCTGTGACCTCCAGACAGGGACCCCGCTGATGGTTGTGAATCAGATATGGAAGGCAGAATTACCGCATTGCTGAGAAACAGTTTACTGGTAAATAATTAAACAGGAATTACAGTTCCTGTTCTATGGCTGTTCTATATACACACATAATATCAGTGATGGGCAGGGTTCCTCTAATCCACTAACCGCTGATTAACGAAGCTAAGCTTTTTGTTAGTGGATCAGTGTTTCTGCTAACTTTGAAATTTGTTAGCGAACCAGTTAAGCTTCTGCTAAATTTAGTTCCCCTAACTGTAAATCCGCTAACTTTTTTTTCGCAGGTAAAGTAAATAAAGTTTAACGGTCAAAAATGTTTGTAAATCCTAAAATCACACATATTTGTCCAGTCTGTTGTGAGCATATCTGCAACAGTATATCTGTCACACTGTTGGCTGACTACGTGTAAACACATGATGAGATTGTGCAGTAACTTTTAGAATTTAAGGTAGTCTGGGCTAAATGTAAGTAAATGAAGATAAGGTCCATTTAAACTGGGGTACCCTGAACTAAGTGGAGAACTGGGGCCTGAGTCATGAAGCTGGATTTCATGCTTAGTCATATAACTTGTATGTCTTAGTTTAAATAGTTTCAAATTCTCTTTACGCCTCCCCAACTTGCTTTCTGTAGGTGAGATCAAGCTGACCAGGAAGGGCAGCCACCTGTTGCAGTGCTCAGGGAGCTGGGGGTTAAGGGCTTTGCTCAAGGACCCACAGATGTGCCAAGGCTGCACTTGAAGCAACAACCTTCTGATCACAGGCACAGAGGCTTAGCCCACTGAGCCACATTCTGCCCCAGGGAGAGCTGGTTAAGCCAGGAATCCTGCTTTGGTCCCTGGTTATTTTCCTTCATTTTCCAGGTTCTGATTGACAGAGCTATGGACCAATAAAGAGCTGAGACCCTCCTTCCTAGTTCTGGGTAACCGGCGCCATGTTTGTAGTCCCCAGGTGGTTTCACAGAGGGCAAAATGTCAGCATGAGCCAGTCGTGGAATAGGACCTCCAACAAAAATGCTTACATCTCGCAAATGGAAAATCGTTGAAAGAAAATTTATTCTGGAGGCTCTACAGAATCAAATGATTGTCAGTTGGGTAAGTCCTAAATACCCTCATGTAATCACTGCAGCCCCGTGGAACTAAAATGCTAAATAGGTTAGCGCTCTATAGGCATGGTTTAAGGGTTTCAGAGCCCAAAACCAAACCAAAGCTAAATTCTTATAATAAAAGTTAGCAGTTAGCATTTATCATTAGCAATTTATTGTGTAAACTTAATCAAATTGAACTTCGTAGATAATAGATTAGCCGTTATCGAAGCTAACTTTTCAATTAGCTGTGCCCACCACTGCGTAATATCATAGGATAAGGTAATGCCATGGTCTGTAGTAGGTAGGAAGTTGCATATTGAGTGCTTGAGATGGAAAGTTAATTTCAGCAGTTCACCACATCTTTGCAACTATGTGTCCATGTGTCTCTTTTCGGGCAGGAGATGAACCAGAGTAATACTGTTCTTTTCCCCAGTTCCAAAAGTAGACATAAATTTGTCAGTGAGTCTTAATCAGTAAACAATCAGTTTCCTATAAAACAATTAGCTTTCCTAATTATACTACCGGTAAAAGAAAAATAATATTTTCCACATGAGACCAAAATGTATGGATATGCTTCTGCGTGTAAAATAATTTTCATTTGTGGAGTATGTATCTCATTAAAAGAAATGAGCATTCTGCATAAATTTATGCATTATTGTCCAGTTAGAGTTTGTAATAGTAATTTCAAAGAAGATTCCAACAAATTTCCATTTTAGTAGAGTCATGGTCCTTTGAGAATGTATTTCTTTGTTTGCCTGTTTGTTATTACGTTTATGACATGTTATACCTGAGGCCTGTCTGACAGGTGCATGTGGGCCTTTGCTGTTGGCCAGTGCATGCCTGCCATTGGTCAGAGGGTTCGCCCTGCAGCCTCAGCCACTCCGATGAAATTGAATTTTGTATGATGCTAACAGGAAGCCCCTCCATCTGCAGGATTCATTACGCTGTGGAGCCGCCGCTGAAAATAGCATGCGGTCTGGCCCCGCTAGTTATTCAACGGCCTATCCGTGCTTAGTGACCCCCCCCCCCAAGTCATCACACCCCCGTTTTCATCATGAAAGGAAATGGAATCTGAGCTTCTTTGTTGACTCAGGCCTCACCTGCTTAAATGTCAGACTTCTTCCCGTCAGCGGTGGCTGACACCCAATGATACTGTCCAATCATGCTTTCTGGAAAATTCTCCCGCTTTTCTGAGCCCTCGCGTTAGGGTGCTCTGTGTATAATTCACGTTATTTCGGTGTTTGTCAGTTGGTGCCATTATCCCCTCCCTCCTGGGTCTCTTTTCGGGACCTCAGCAGCAAAGACACAGTCTTTCACCGAGATAATCACAGGCTGTGTCTTGGTGCGTGCATGCCCCGTCACACGGGAATCGGGAACAGTGGTTATTACTCTGCTCCCAGAGATATTCAGGGACTTTTCATTTAAAGAAGAGGGGAGAATAATTGTCTAAGCGTTCATCTTCAGTTTGTCAATTAGCAGCCATTAGTGCGATAAACTACACTATAACCATAAGTTAGAATTCAGCACCAAATACATTTTAACTTGCATTAACAGTACAAAATTGGAGGAAAATAACAAAACATTTTGGAGTGTGCTTACTCAATCCTCATGGCATCCATTTAACACTTATACTGTACCATGTGCCATCGCAGATAACTCTAACATTTAGTGTGAAATATCAAGAGGCTATGCTAACTATCGCTAAGTGTGACAGGTTTATCAGAGGTACCTGTAGTTCGATTTTGCGTGCGCTTCATGGAAAAAGCGACAGCTGACTGAGATTCTTGAAATGGCACTAAGAACTTATTCTCTTTTTTATAACACAGCATATAAAGACTTGTTTCCTTTTTTTTAATGCTAAACACCCAAATGTCTTTTTTAATGCATGGTAGCAATGCAAGCCGTTTGTATGTGATGATGAGCAAACTGAAATGATAAAATAGATTGAGAATCATTTAAGCTTGGTTTGTAGGGCTTTGACTTTCTATGATATTCTCTGCTACATGCAGAAAGGGACAGTGATTGCCCTATGTCTCCTGCCGCATTTCCTGTGTCTCCTGCCGCATTTCCTGTGTCCCCTCCTGCATGTCCTGTGTCCCCTCCCACATGCCCAGTGCACCCTGCCGCATGCTCTGTGCCCCCTCCTGCATTTCCTGTGTCCCCTCCCACATGCCCAGTGCCCCCTGCCGCATTTCCTGTGTCCCCTGCCGCATGCTCTGTGCCCCCTGCCGCATTTCCTGTGTCCCCTGCCGCATGCTCTGTGCCCCCTGCCGCATTTCCTGTGTCCCCTGCCACATGTCCTGTGTCCCCTCCCACATGCCCAGTGCCCCCTGCCGCATGCTCTGTGCCCCCTCCTGCATTTCCTGTGTCCCCTCCCACATGCCCAGTGCCCCCTGCCGCATGCTCTGTGCCCCCTCCTGCATGTCCTGTGTCCCCTGCCGCATGCCCTGTGTCTCTTGCCACATGCCCATTGTCCCCTGCCACATGCCCTTTATCCCTTGTCACATGCCCTGTGATTCCTGGGATGGGCCTTAGTTTCACAGCAACTCTGTACCAGAGAAGCAGTTATGCAAGATGGATGGATATATTCTCAGTTAACTATTTCTTGAAAGTCTTTTTACTTACCGGTAATAATGTCAGCTTTCGTTTATGTTTAATAATGGGAATGACCCTTTCCCTTAATCTGGTGTGTATGTTGTTATACCACCACATCATGTAGGTACACGCAGACCACATGCATGGTATTGGCCATGGAAATATCTAGATTGCATACCTATTAATTTGCTCCATCAACCTGGAAAGCATGGTACCTCAAACATGAGTGAATCACCATTTTTTCTTAGACAAAAAACTCTTTTATTTCTCGAGTTAGAAAGGCATAAAGAATACTAAGCGCTCTTTAATCGAGCCATATGTATAACTTTATATGCTGTGTTTTCCCTGCTGTTTGTAGCTTTGGGCAAACGAACGTGGCTCTGTTTCCCGACCACTTTCTGGTGTGTGATTTTTAAAATAGCAATTTAGCTGAAAGAAAGGCAAATAAAGGGAGAAAGCAAATGAACAGGGAACGATTCTTGTTAAATATGGAAGGAGAAGGCCTGCAGTATTCTGCGGACTTATCCCTACCAGGATGGTGTATTCCATCTGTTCCTTGCCGCCTGTCCACCTCTTTCAGGAAGTGTTTGCAGCTCACTTTCTTTGTGGTCCTATAAGGATTAGAAATGGCAGACCTCAGGTGCGTGACCTACCGAAGACTACACATTATGGCCCTTAATGATGCTGCTAACATTGCGGAGCCTGTGAGTCGGTGACCTTGAGTGAAGCACAGATCTGTGTTAGAATGCAGGGTGTCCCGCCTTCCTTGCGGCCCTTATTTAACGCGGAGACATTTAGCATCAATGCTTGAATCTCAGTGTGTGTGTGTTTGGGGGGGGGGGGCTGTCTCATCCCTTTGGTCTTTTTGGGAGAATGAGAGGGAAAACGCCGGTCGGGTTCTCATAATCTGAGATTTTCCAAAGGGGTGTCTATGGCTTCGATACCTTATAAACCATGAAGACTCTCGATCTCTTTGTGCTGAAATGTGCTTTAAACGCACAGCAGAAGAGGGTGTGGGCTTGATTTCTGCAGCTGTACAGACTCCTGTAAAGTAAAGCAGGGAAGCAAATACGTCACACAGATGTATGAACCTAGAATGGCTGCCTCGGGGATTTGTGTCTCTATACTTGGGTGTCTGTGTTTATAGAATGCCCCCTTCAACACTCCAGATGATTCATCAGCTATTTGCTGAAAGTGCACTGGACTGTTTACTCAGGAGAACGAAAAGAGCGGAAGCAGACTCTTGTGAATCTTGTAGTCGACGCTGTGATGCTACAAGGCCTGGGACCTGTCTCCAGGGGTCGGGGGTGGATGGGGGGGGGCAGCTCCTGCCCAGGGTGTTTGGGTCCCTTGATGTACTTGGTGCTAAAGGTGCACACCAGTGCCTCGCTGGTCATGCCTCCTGCCTCCTGTGCCATGTCCTCCTGCTGTCCTCCTCCAACAGGAGGAGTTACCTGAGCAAATGAGGCCTGACCACATTCTCACAGTTAGTGCTTCTAATTCAACACATTAAAGAGACACAAGAAGCGTTTAAGTCGCCAAGGAGGTGGTCGTTAGGGTCTGAAGGCCGTCGGCACATTCTGATGCCTTCGTGACGAATGAGACAGTCATGATGACTCTTGGGGGTGGTCAGATCTCCAAGCTTCCAGAAAGTTCCAGTCAAAGTTTACTGCAGCCTACTATTTATTATTCAGGCCTTTTGCATAGAATTGTGATTATTCCTTAAAAGTACAGAATTACAAGGGAGCCAAGAATTCTGGATTTATTAATGTGATAATTTCAATGAATTACAATGAAACACATTTTTTTGTTAGTATTTAATTACCAGCCCATTATAGGGAAGTGTTTAGCAAATTAGCCTATGAGGTGAGTGGGATAGACAACAAAATCTATCCTCCATGATGCCAGGATGGCAGAACGGCATGATGTCATCACACACAGAATGTCAAGGCCAGGATCAGCTCTCAGAAAGACATCTGTGCTGAAGGTCCCCAGACAAACAAGGCTGTGTCATTATCTATGTTTGTGACAAACGCTTGTCCATCTTACAGCTAACGAGGTTATTTACTTAAAAGGCTTCCCTTGTTTCAGCTCCCCTCATCTGTCTGAGCATAAAGCCAAATAGCTTGGGGTTATTGATGAGGGGGGTTAGGACAGGGGTCGCCGACAGAAACAGGGGTGATGGGAGCCGTCCCGGGAGTCCGTGTTCAGAATGGGATGGACGGTGACACAGGAGAGTGCAGGTTTCCCAGTTAAATGCGGGTAGTGGGGCAGGAATACCAGACTTAAGAGAGGTGAGGTTGAACAAGAGCCAATGCTCAGGGAGAGGGGAGGCAGGAAAATGAATTAGCAGAAAAAAAGAAATGTCTTATTAAAAAACACGCACACAGCGGGTAAATGTGGTCCAGGGGCTGATTTGGACCGAGGGTTCCGATTGAGGGGCATTTGGACTTCAGGTGAGGCCTGATTGGATCATTAGGGCTGGACACACTAGGACAGGGAGCAATGGCCTGGGGGCAGAAATTTAATGGGCTCTCAGCACAAAGTCCCCCAGCAGGGATAGCACCAGCCAGCAGATTGATGGGGGGGCATAAGGTGAGCGGTCTGGGGTAAGGGTAATTAGAGCGAGCAGGAGATTTTCATCAAATGGGAAAAATAGAAAAAGAGTGTTAATTTCTAACACCTCCCTTGCCACAGGCACGCAGCACTGCCCCCTACGTCTCGCAGGGTGTATGGCTGGCAAGGTGAGGAGCCCCCATGATGGGTAAATGAGTGCTGACCTTTGGCTCTGCCAGTCTCTGTGATTCCGTAATGGCCACTTTGGGCACGCCGACCCCATGGCGACACTTTTAATGATGCCACCTCTCAATGCGTCAGTACAAAAATAAAAAGGACCAGGAAACTGCATTCAAGAGGCAGATAGTCCCAAGTCGTGACAAAGATAAAAACACCAAAGACGAGAATGAGGGCCTTTCAGGTAGTAAAACCATCTTCGGCTGAATTGTTTAGAGCAATATCGGTCTGCTGGTCATTATAACTGTGCCAATCGGGGGGGGCTCTTTCTCTGCCTAAACAAAGGACAGGCTTGCTTGGGTCGGTACAGAATGGTGGGCTGGGATGAAGCGCTGTCCAATGTAGAGTGGCAAAAGCCCTTATTTCTGCCCCGTGTTTGGTTTCGGGGATTTTATTTCAGCATTAAGGAGCCTGCCCCCCCCCCCCCTGATCGCAGCCCCCATCCAGAGGCAGGATCTGTCTGTAAAGATGGAGTCGCGCCCTGCAGATGAATACAGGTACAAAATAGAAATGGGGGGGCTCCAGTCAGAAAGAGAGAAAAAGTAATCTGACAAGACTCTGGGTACGGGGTGGTAGCCTGTCACTCACAACCCCCCCACCCCCGACACCCACAGCACCGGCAGCAGGACCCGGTCCTCACCGTGAAAGGATGTGGCTGTCTGTAAGGACCCTAGCAAACCACCCTGCCCCCCCCCGGGTGGGCGTGTAACTATCATAGACAGCTCTGTGATTATTTCACCTTCTTTCATTGACCCTCAAATCACGTCTCCAAATTCTTCAAATCTTTCTGCTATGGTGAATAACAAAAGAGAAAAGATATTTTTACGCACCAGCCCTGTTTTAATGTTTTACCAGACAGACATGGTTAGTGGGAGGGGCTGCTCCATTTTCAGGTGTGACACCATCGTTGCCCATGATCTCTGACAGGGGCTTTGAACCTGCAGAGTGAGCTGCCTGTCAGTGTCACTCTGGCTGAAGACACAATCTAGGCAGAAGCTTTAGAAATTGACTGTAATACTGAGCAGGATGACCCTGAAGATTGCCGAAAGTGACAATGGTCTCCTGGCTGTGCGCATGTGCTTAGATCAGGCCATGTGAAAGCCGGGCTTGTCAGTGACCAGTAATGCAGAGGGGTTTGACGGAGGTGGGGGGGGGGGGGGGGGGTGCTGGGAACACCGTGCGTAATTTGTGTCACCTTTCATTACTGTCCCTGTCAGTCTGCTGTTGTGATTTATGGGTGAATGGATTATCTGCTGTGTGTTTGTGTCTGTGTGTGTGTGTGTATGTGGTCTATACATTACATTGTGGGAACCAAATGTCCCCCACAAAAACCTGTCATTCTGAGGTTGTGAGGACAATTTTTAAGGTCCCCACAAAGATCTGTGAATGCAATCAAAAAACAAAAAAATGCCAAAATTCCAGTATGTTGTCTGGTTACTTATGGTTCAGGTCAGGGCTGGGTGGGGTTAGGGTCGTCATGTTGGGATTAGGGTTTCCCCATAGAGCAGAGAGCTCTCACAAACATAATTAGAAGCCTGTGTGTGTGTGTGTGTGTGTGTGTTAGAGAAAATTAAAGGTCTTGCCTTCTTGTTTTCATATTGTCTGCAAACAGAAGAAATTGCTAAGAAGATTTTTTTCCTTTATCGTTATTTTCTGGTGACAGGGAGGGTGAAGATTATTTGTGTTCTTTTTGTAAACTCAGTAGGAATGGCAACTGACTGACATCCTGGTGAGGAATCGTGCCTTCACAGTCCCATTTGTCCCACGACATTCAGAGTGGCTGAGTTCATCAGGACTCCATGCGGGGCAGCACTCCGAAGTTGGCTGACCCCCCCGCTGTCCTCCTCAGGCATCTGAGATGCGTTAAGCCACACGTTCATGGACAGCACTGAGCTCTGTGTACAGTCAACATGGCAGTCAAGCATCACTGTGGTGACACCGGGCGCTACGGCTCGCTCGCCCTGCCACCTCGCCAGTGCCCCTCATCATTTTCTCACTCCAGAAACTTGTTGCAGAGAATTCCCCTGTATTGTAGTAGGGGACAGAGACAGTGTTTGTGATCTCGCAGCAGGTTAAAGAGAATGGACAGATATCCTTACAGTCAGGCTCCTGCTTCATCGGGCAGCACACTCTGCTGCTGGTAATCCTACAATGTGCCATTTGCAGTCGCACTATGTGCGTATGAGCCAAATTACCCCGCTTTTGTCACACAGAAAAAGGGGATGCATTTGAAGGGTGTAGATCCAGTCATGTGACTCTTTGGAACTGCCTGTAGCAAAGGACTAAGTGAACTCAACATAAACTCAACACATACTCAACACAACACGTGTTTGGCCAGGAGCCCAGCAACTCACCATAGATGTAACTGGGAGACACAGACTGGGCCTTACTGGGGCACCAGCAGCTTGTCATGGATGTAACTGGAAAACACAGACTGGGCCTTACTGGGGCACCAGCCGCTACCCATGGGTGTGACTTTAACCCCCCCGACGTCCAATCAGCACTGCCCTTGCTGAAGGTTATCTGAGGCGGGGGGAGGGGAAATTGCTCCGGCCCCGCAAATGGTGCGGGAAAACGAACAT